CCAAAAACCCATCCTTGCCCATCCAGTTCAACATCCAAACTGGTCTAACCTAGTTTAGTCTAGGTTAGGTGAGGTACATAGATAAGTACCTATTCCGTATCTCTTTTCGTTCTTCTCCTCCGTGGACCGTCCCGCCGTCTCCGTTCCCTTCCCTTCCGCAGCGAAAAAAAGAAGAGCCGGGATCTAGTCAGCCATGGCATCGTCATTGAGGGTAAAGTAATCACCAGTGGTTTTTTTTTTTTTGCCTGCCCACTCAAGTTCCCCAGGTTGGCCTTGGTAGCAATTGTAACGGTGCTAGCAAAACTCCTACGTGGAGTTTGCTGAAATCTGTTGTATCCACTTCCTTGGCATAGGAGGTGCCTGACACCTGCAACTTCAACCAACATTGACCCTTCTATGCAGTGGATGTTACGGCAGGTGATGGACCGGCGGCTACCTACCGGAGTGGTAATCTAGCTCTGTAGGAAGTAGGTACTAGATAGGCCCACCTAGGTAAGGTTACTGCGGCTTATGTGGGCTGGATGAGGGCTAGTCTAGACTATGGTTAGACTAGGAACTTCGGGATTACAGTGGCACATAACTTCGTCTTCACTACTTGTACATCGAGATTTAGACATTTTCCCCTCAGTTCTACTCTCCTATTCTCTTGACTTCTCGATGCATTCGATCGCATGCATGGAATGAACAAGGGAATATTTCGAGATGCTAAAGCCGGTTATTCGGCCCTAGCCCACTACGTTGGACCCTTTTTGATATTCAACCATGAATGTTTTTTTATTCACGTCTTCGTCCGAAACCACCATACAAAACATGTAACATCATTAAGGGCATCTTCGAGCTCGCTATGGACGATTCCATGACCGGCCTAGACATATATATATATATGTCACATGTGCTTCCAATCACGATATGCGGGCTTCTAAGGCCTCATCAACGATGACTCTCACCCCATTGGACAGTTGGAGCCCTGGGAAAGACTGCATGATCCGGGCTTCTCAACAGAATCTCGACTCCACACCTCCTTCGAACGGACAGGATTACAACAAATGTAATGTTGTACCCCAAAAATAACTCTTTGGATAACAGTCGCACAATAAACGTCCCTCGTCTTCGACTGCAACGGGACAGAGGTCTCGAAGACTATCGACAAGGTCACCTGGTCAAGCATGTGCTCTCCGAATCCCGGCCGGTCGCAATGGAAACATTTTGACTGACCGACCCCCGGGACCTCAGGATGCGTCGATAATATTAAGCGCGGGGAAAAAAACACGTGAAAGCCAGCCAACCAGTCAACCACCGAAACATGGGGCGTCTTACTCGTATAGCTGCCAGTCCACTCGATATAATGCGGTCAACGTAGTACACACTGCATTCCGTTTGAAAGCGCCGAAGGTTGTGTAGGAAAGAGTCCCCAACCTTTACCAATACTCTCCTGATCACAGTCATCTGTGAAGCCCACCTTCTCGTCATACAATGATACTTTCCACGTTGTACGTTCCACGAATACTTAGCAGTAACGTGAGTACCCCGTTTCAGCCCGTGCAGAGACCGTAGAGAGTATAGTCCTATTGCGGTACGGGGGGAAGCTGGATTCCCAGCTCGGTGGGAGGAGAACCTCACTCGCCAACTCTATCGTCAGACCTGGTATGTCGCGAGGGTCGACCAAGGTGCCATCATCCTGTCCGCCAGCAGGGCGCTGATCAGCGCTCGGTGCAAAAGAAAACCCACAAAAACCAAGTATCTGAACTAGACATGGGGCACGCATGCATGCGACAGCCGCTGGGTATGGGGCAAATATATAACCGTATCCAAGTTTTCCGGCCAATCGCCCAGTTAACTTGGGTAATACGAATACGCAACAAACACTACGAGTAGGTCAGATAAAAAGTTCCTACGCACCTTGGACACACCCACACGTAACCCGTTCACAAGGGTCCACTCGACAGTCCCAGCCTGGCTGTCGTTGATGCCGAGATTCCTCACGGCCCTGGAAAGGGATAGCTCGTCGTATACGAGCCCTGTTTTGGGCATAGATAGGAGCGTCGTCCGACCGGCGAGGCAACCTCCCAGATACACATCAATGCTGCAGGGTAGTGGGAGATGGACGCGGTCCACACGGACATCTACTAACCATTGTAGCCTTGGCTTCGGAGCGTCTGCCGCATTCCCCACGTCTGCCGGGTCGCCGTATAGTTTCTGAATCTGTGCGATGACAGCCTCCCTTCGGCCTTGATTGTGGCCCATCATACTGAGCTCTGGATATGTGTAGCCCAGCGCCTCGATTTCTGACACCGTCTCACCGTTGTGGAATGTGCGTCCGTCGGCCTTGATTATACAGTCAGGCTTCAGCTACAAGGGTTGCTAATACAGGAGCGGTTTGGTGTGTGCTCACCTGGTAAAAGGGTTTCAACGAGCTAGTCGCGGTTATTGATTCGCCCTTGGCCGTCGCGTACAGGCCCAGGCTCGTGTACGGGCTTGTTTGTAAAGTGTCGTTGTGGATGCACGTCCATAAGGCAGCCAGTCTGTCAAGGTTAGAGTGGTGGAGCATACTACGACATATGAGCAAGTGAGCAATCGGCCGTTAGAAAGCAAGTGACGGTCATCAGCCATACAATAACGGATCGAACGCGGCTAAATCCAAACTGGTGAACGATCCACCAACGAGATTATGGATCTCATTGTGAGGCGCCTCGAAGCTGCTTCCAGACGCAGACATAGATGCCATCTGGTCGTATGTCGTGGAGGAGGCAAACGTGCGGTACTATGTTGTGTCAGCCAGAAACCGGCCAGACCTCGGTCGAGCTCCTACAGGAAAGCTCACCACGGAGTCCTTGATTAGGTTGGCGGCTCCGATCAGGTTGCTGTCCACTAAGTTCGGAGCGCCACCCCGTGTTGTCGCGAGGCCCATATCACGCTGTCCCGGGAACAGAGTCGAGTTTCGCGGATCCGTCTGCCAGCGGTAGTTGTATAATGGGTTATGAAGGACCAGCTCACCGTCGGGTCCGTTCACGGTGATGTTCTCCCGCTCCGTAGACGGCGGAAGTCTCGCGTCTGCTGCCCAATCCCAAAAGGGGAGCCGAAACTTCTGTGAAGCTTCTCTGTAGGCAGCTGCATTCCCGCCTGTGTATTCTGAAGCTAAGCGTCCAACTTGGTCCCCAAGGACTTGCTTGGGGCTGGGATCAGTGGCACACTTATACGAAAGATGCCAATTCCGCACGTACCTCATAGAGAGCAAGGTATGCGCGATGCCAGGAGATCAGCTGAGGTGACTATCACGCCTCGTTATCATAACTACACGAATAATGCGATGGGAAAGGATGCCATACTAGATGCGGACAGTATCCTCTCCAGCCCGATCCGGCAACCGGCCCGACGTTGTTGTATGGGACATAAGGCATACCATGGATGCCTATAAGAGTAGTCAGAAACATCTGTCTGTCTCGACGTTGTATTACTCGCCTGCTATAGCAAAGTGAGATCGCTCGTCATTTTCTGCTGCATTTTGCAATGCATCGAGACCACGAATAAAGAGATCCCTGGCAGCCGTGAGAAAAATGACAGGTAAGATGGGGGGATAGCAGGGTAGCATTTTACCACATCGGCCCTCCGTCTTTCTCCAACCCGTTGATATTCCATCGAGGGGGCGGGTTTCCTGTGGCTTGATCGAACCCGGTCGACCTTCCAGTGACGGGCACCGGTCCGGTCTGCGCACCTACATGAAGGATCCACAGCGCAATTGCCAGGTGCAAACACTGCAGAGAGCACTTTCGGACCTCAAAAGGCATCGTTACCTATATCGGATATCCCAAGTAAGGTCGAGCTATAGACATAACAGTTCATCCCAGATGTCACAAAAGGTTGGTAAAGTTATGGACATGGAGGCGGGTTACAACTTATAAGCGTCACCGTCCTTTCAAGACATTCCGTTTGAGCATGTCGACTCGCCCATAATGATACACACATACTCTCCCCTGTTTCCATAATAGGCTGGTTCTAGCCACTTCTTTTACCAAACTCGTCACCTTCTTCCCGCCGAGCGTCTATTATGTGCACCATCCCGAGGAAGCGCTCCCAATGTAACGGGCCACATGGGACGCTTGGGCACTGGTCCCAGAAAGTCTGTCGATATTTGGTTCTGATAAGACATTCAGACACAGCCGCACACATGGGAAACATCTCACACTGTCTTATACGCGGCAAGCGGCAGCCAAGCCCTTCGGAGACGCGCTATGGCGGGATGCCGATTCGCCCTAGAATAATGTGGACCGTGGTTGTGTGGTGTGTCTCCTGCCTTAAATGGGGCGAGGCAAGTACGTGTAGGTGAGTAATCTATCTCCCGGCATTCAAAAGCCAGACTTAATCAGTATCTGGATGGCAATATGCGGTAAGACACAATTTGAACACAGCAGGTGAAAGTTACTGCTGCGAGATAAGGCGCTACGTGTTGTCAACCCAAAACGGCCAAGGTTACACCATACACCATATCATACCACGGGAGAAGTGCTTTTTCTTTCGCGGCAACTCGCAGTTGTTTGATGTGCCATCGCCACGACAGCAATCAGATTCAGCACAATTATTCGTGGGCATGGGTTTCACCCCCTTACTCGGACAGGAGGGGGACAACGCGCCACCAGCAGGCTTCCGGTCACTCGGCTGTCATGATCCGAATCCAAATGCCCGCGCGTGGGAACCACGAGGCATTTCGCTTTGTGAGGTGCCACAGTTCAAGACCCCCGTGATATTCCTGAGCCACGGGCCCAGGCAGTGCGCATCCTTTTAGGCAGCGTCACGCCCAAGTTGTGTATACTTGGACTTGATCTTGCCGTCATATAAGTAAAACCAACTTCAGGTCTTGCAGATACTGACAGGATTTTGAAGGGGCCCCAGCGGTGAACATAGGAGGGAGTCGCCCATGCCCAAAGGTAGACGAAGATACATTGACCTTTTCGCAAATAAAAAAAAGGAAAAATGTTGAATCAATCATAGTTGATAACTTTAGCTGGTCAGTATGGGGGTCGAACCCATGACCTTCGCATGAACCAATGTTACATGGCAAACGAAGCCATATAATATTAGTACGACGCTCTAACCAACTGAGCTAACCGACCAAGTGGACGGACGTCTGCCGTGGTGGAGAGAATAATGAGTCGAGAATCGGCGGGGGCTTTGGTTCGGGGACAAGTCCCCACTCCGTTTCCAATATCCCCTTTCCACTCACTGCTTTCTCCTGGTTGCGTATATATAGCTTTTAAGGATCAAGTACAACAATGCCGTCAAAGTCATGTGTGGGTGTGTGGAAATATCAAGTGTGATAGATTATGAGCACCAAAATTCAGAAATCTATGGGCCGTCACATTAGTCAAGTGACTTGATTGAGCCTTTGCCTTTGCTTTGTTTGTATGTGTCTATCTAGACTACGCAGGGTATTTTCTCGTAATACCACTCGCTCACCACGTGACGATTCTATCCACAGACAAATCTTCTCTATCTACGTACGAGTAGATTAAAAGGTTTCCTCTCTGTTTGATTAGGAGTGGACAACAAGTCAGGCGAGACCAATGGCGTAATTACGTACTCGTAACACACACAGCATATGTACCTACCTATGTATAGACTGGGACGTGGCATTGTTGATTTGACCAAGAAAAAAGGGGTTCCAGCCTACCTCGTATCTACCTCCTACTTTATGTATTGTGGTCAAGAGAATACAAAACATTCTCTTCTTTCTCGTTGATGTGTGTACGAGTACGTGTATGATTTTACCGCATCCAGTTCTGGCTTCTCCTTTATCAGTTCAGTTCAGTTCAGTTCCTAGACTACGAGTAGACAAGACTCTTCGAATGTGATTGTGCGTTTTTGCTGTCGATATCGGACGAAGCGGAAAAGGGTTGGAGAGATTTATTTTTTATTTCTATATTTCTGACAAAGAAAGAAATGTTTTGTTGTTGTTGTTGTTGTTGTTGTTGTTGTTGGTTTTTTTTTCCCTTTCCCCTCCTTCTATGCCGAACGAAGCCTGTACCTACACAGTTCCTTTCTTTCTTTCTTTCTTTCTACCCGACCCTGTCTAAAGCAAAAGTAAAGCAAAGCAGAACACCTAATTCAAATGTTGTTGCCCAAATTCGTCCGCAATACATTACAGTACAGTACAAGGCCAGAATAAATACCGGCAGAAGGGGGTGGGGGGATGTTTTAGGGGGTTAGGTATGTATGTAGTCGGTAAAGGCCTACGGTAGACCTTTTTTTCTTTCGTTTCGCTTTTGTTTATTCTCCCAAAAACCCCCCGCCCGAAAAAGCCGATTCTATCGTAGACCAGATTTGTTCTTCTTGATTGATTATTTTATTTTTTTGGCTCGGATTCTTCTTCTTCTTCTTCTTCTTCTTCTTTCTTTTCAAGCGCCCCCTTCCCGCTTAGCGTATTCATCCTCCATAGCTTCCTCGTATCGTCTATCGGCCTCGATCTCTTCCTCTGTCTTCTCACGTGTCGTTCCTGCGCCTGTATCTACGCCTGCTCCCGCCGCCTCGTCATCGTTTGTTGTCGTTGTTGTTGTGGTTTGTGATGAGGACGTATCGGACGACGACGTTACTGAGCTTGTTTCGGAGACTGAGGTGGATGTTGATGGGGATTGATTGGATTCCGAGTCTGGGTCGTTGCTTAGGAATGGCATTTTGATTTGTGATTTGATTTGATGGTTTTGTTGTGTTGTGTTGTGTTTGTGTGTGATGAAGTGGAATGTGATGAAAGTTTGATTTTAATTTTGGTTACGGACAGGTTAAGATGAGTTTATTGAATATGCTGACAGTAGGTGAGGTTGTTGGATTGATATAAAAAACAAAATAAATGTTGTAGGTGCCTGGGTGGAGTAGGTAGGTACAGCTTGGTAAGGGTGTAAATTTAGCAGGAAAGAGGATTCGATCCTTCGGACCTACTCCGATAAAAAAGGAAGGGCTGTCACTTCCCTTATACCTATTATTTTAGGTCGTAACCCCCTTTATTATTAAACTTACCTAAACCTTATTTTAAAGGGTATTTATTATATTATTTATATTTTAAAAGATATATAGAAAATAGACCACCTTGTTTTCTACTTCTAATTCTCTTTGCAAATCTCTTATTTTTTTTAGTATTTTTAGTAAGGTAAAGAATAAATTAACAGTACTATATAGTTTAAAAAACCTAGTTAAAAAAAATAATAAGCTATAGTGCTATTATTATGCTATAGTGCTAATTTGTTAATAAGCTATAAAGCTGTTTTTTAACTATTAAATAAGCTATAAAGCTATTTAATAACTTTTAAACAAGCTAAAAAGCTATTAATTTAATATGCTAAAGCGCTATTTTTAAAACAAGCTATATAGCTATTGCCTTATTCTTTTAATAAGCAGTATTATTGTTGCTTTTTTTTATTAATAAGCTATAAAGCTATTATATTATTAGTTTAATAAGCTATATAGCTATTATTTTATTTTATTAATAAGCTATATAGCTATTATTTTATTTTATTAATAAGCTATATAGCTATTACTTAAATTAGCTATAAAGCTATTTATAAGTTATAAAACTAATATAACTACTTTAATTAATAAAAAGCTTTGCTATATAAGCAAAAAGATTAAAATTTATATACTTTAATAGCTTTTTATTAAAAGCAATAAAGAATATTATAAAGCAACTACTTTTTAACTTAAGCTTTAAGTATTTAAATCTTTTATATTTAAAAAATAAGCTAATTATATTATTTTTATTAACTTAACTTATATAAGTTAAAATATTAAATAAAAAAATAAACAAAAACGAAATTATATAAAAATTAAAAAAAGACCTTATTTTAACTTAGTAAATTATAGTTAGTTTACTAGCAATATGTTTATAGCTTAATAAATTTAATAAATTAAATAAAAGTTTTAAAAAGCTAAAGCTGCTATAGTATATTTAAATATAATTAAAGCAATAAATATGCTTTATAAAGGTTTTGCTGCTATTTTTTTAAATAGTTAAATTAACTTTTAAGATTTTAAAAATAAAGTATTAAAGTAAAAAGCAAATTTGTTTAACTTTATATTATTTAAATAAGCTTTTAAAAAAAAGTATTTAGCAGTAGTTAAAAATAAAAAAACTATTTAGCTTGTAAACAAGCTTAAAAAACTATTTTAAAAAAAAATAAAGCTTTTATACTTTATTATAATAAAACCTTAGCTTTATTAAAAAAAATAAGCAGTAAAAATACTTTTTAACTAAAAAATTTTAATTTTTTAATAATATTAAAAACTTTTACTTTAAAGTTTATAGTAAAAACATTTATTAATAGTTTTTAAAATAAAAATTTGTAAATAAAAGCTATTAATAAAAAAGCTTAAAACTTTTATTTTTTATAAAAAGCATTTAATACTATAAAAAGTGTATTTTAGGTTTTAAAAATAAAGCGTTAATTATAAGCTTAGAAAGCTAAAAATATAAAAATTAAGCTTATAAAAAAAATAATTTTAGCTAATACTAGCATAAATATAAAAAAAGCTATTTAAAAAGCTTACTTATTATTAAAAATATTTGCTTTATTAAGTATTAGTATATTAATTAAAAAGCTTTAAGTATTATAAAGATTTTAGTTTTAAAATATAAGCTTTTAAACTAAAAAATAGTATAAAAAAAAAGCTGCAGCATTTAAATTTTTAAAATTTAAAAAATAGCAATTAAGTAAACTTTAGTATGCTATATTTAATTTAACTAATTTATTTTTATAAAAAAGTTTAAAAAACTTACTAGTAAGCAGCAAGAAAAAAGTGTTATTATTAATAAAAGTATGCTTTTAATATAGTAAATATAATTATATTAAACTTAAGTGCACTGTTTTAAAGTTTTTATGCTTAAAACTATAAAAATAAGCATAGCTAAAAGCTTTAATATTTTTAAATAAAAAAATAAAAAAAGCTAAAGCTAAAAAAAAGCAGTTAATATTATTTTTAGTAATAATATATTACCTTTTTATTTTTTATAATATTAAAACTAAAAAATATAATTAAAAAAATAAAAAAAGCTTTTAAGCTAATAAGATAAGCTTTTTTTGCTATATTTTAAAAATTGCAAATTTAAAAGCTATAAGTTTAAAAGTTAATAAAAAAACTTTTAAAAATTTATTTAAAAAATTTAAAAAATTTAATAAAAATAGCAAGCTTAAAAAGATTTAAGCACAAATATGTATTTTATAAAGTTTTTTAGCTATAACGATTAGTAAGGCATAATAGCTATATATTAACGCTATATAAAAGATTTTAAGTTAAAAAGAAAAAAAAGAAACTAGCTACGCTAAAATTTATTTTTTTGCTACTTATATATAAATACTTAGCTAAAAATATAAGTATATAACTAATTAAATTGTTTTGCTAAATAAGTCTAGCTAAGCAAAGGTAATATTTAGTACTACTTTAAACCTATTTTATAATAATATACGTAGTTTATAAGTTATATAATTATTTTTTTAGTTATATAACTTTAAATTAATAAGTATAGCTATTATACTACTTTTTTTTAAAATTAAAGCTAAGGTATAAAGCGCTTAAGCTAAAGTTTTTTTTATTATAAAGGTTACTAAAAGTACTGCTTAAAAGCTAATACTTTTTTTTTATTTAAAGCTAATACCTTTTTTTTTTTTTAATATTAACGCAAAAAACGTTTTTAATAACTTGCTATGCTTATATACTTTATAGTAAGTTTTTTTTATAAACATATACTTAGTTAACCTTTTTTTATTTTAATAAAAATGTTAAATTATAAGTTAGTTTAGTTAAGTTATAATATAAATAATTTATTAAATATAATATAATTAAATATAAACT